AAAATTTGCGGCGGTCTCACCCCCATAAAAAGTTATGGGGGTTGAAAGTTGATTATTTTGACAGTTTTCATACACTATAATTCAAATAAAATTCAATAAAAAAAATATTTTCAAGCGGGTGGAGGTGGGGGATCGAAAGAGGGTGGTCACTTGAACAAAACCCGATAACCTAACCTAACCTACCCTATTGATAATGATATTTAAATAATATGTTATATAACTTTCTCAATAATTGTATGTATTTTTCATTAGTTATACCTTTGAATATTGTTTAAGAATGACTATATAAATATTTACATGCCTAGAAATGTATAAAAATTGGCATCTTTATTAACTTTAAACCCCCATAACTTTTTATGGGGGTGAGACCGCCACGAACTTTTTATGGTACAGTGGTGGGGGAGACCTCCTCTTTCGATCCTCCCCACCCCGAAGGGGGTGGGAGCCATCATCTAGACCTTTACCGACTAACTATTAAAATATCCAGACGATTACAATTTTTTTGTAACCAACGATATAGTCTTAAAGCCAGCGTTCCGCAGACTTACGGTATAGTAGCAAAGTCCTTATTAATGCTAAGTATACTATTTCACCTGCCGTAGGTGAAGTGGGGATTCACTATTCCTACCAAGAGTTCCTTTGGGCGTGCCCAGAAGTCGAAAAGCATCAGAATTGACTCTGAAAACGTGATCGCAGATTGTCTGCCGTTTTAATATCTTCAAATATATATATTTTTTTTATGTAAAAAAAACTTGATGGGAATAGTGAATCCCCACTTCACCTACGGCAGGTGAAATAGTATACCTAGCATTAATAAGGACTTTGCTACTATACCGTAAGTCTGCGGAACGCTGGCTCTCATTCTAATACTGTTTTTTCATTAATTACATCATTCATTAAAATATATGTATTCACTATAAAGATCTATTCTACATGAATCCAAACAATTGTCACAATTTATTTTTAGCAAGGTTGTCCTTATAATTCTGCGAAATCATAGCATATTTTCTCCGTCGGTTATTTTTTGTCAAGGAAATATTACCCACAAATTAAAAAAGCTAACAATATATTCAAAGTTTTGAGAATACAGAGTTTTATCGTATCCAAGTCCATGCTAAAAATCGAAGGGGTGAAATTACTCACTATAATTCAATCGCTAAACAAATATTTACACCTCTGTACTAATTGTAAGGTGTTTCAACTTGTTCATCTGAATCGAAGCAACCACAAACGGATCGAGATTTTGCGCTTTTTAATTTCAAGCATTAGACAAAGCCTTACTAAAGTCCATAATTCAACTTATTTAACAGAATTGACGACGCACTACACATACGTGATAGGCACATAAACCAATTAATAAATAATATTTTTTAAAAGTTTTTGTACTATCACCGATCAAACATTATATAAAATGATGGATGAAAGTTACCCACATTGACCATGGAAGGTATTAGAAGCTTAAAAATTGGACAAACAGACATTCCATGAATGCCTTCTAATTCTTTAATGGAAGAGAACCCAAAAAATTCTAAACTCCTTGGAAATGGATAATCTAAAATATTGGATCAATATTGTTTTCCCAGTTCAATGTCATGGTCCGTGGAATTTTGAAGTTCCAAATTGATATTAGCACCTGCCAAATCACCACTTATCCTACATTTAACAAGAAACTACGGAATTCTATGAATTACGACAAAACAGCCCGCCGAACAATATCGAATAGATATACGCCATCTGTGTAAGACTGAAAACTACAAGATATTGTGATGTGCTAATAAATGCGTATAATCCAAAATTCTTAGAAAACGATTCGAAAAACTTCACTTATTAAATGAACCCAAAGCTAAAGAAACTATGCATTCCATTTCTTTCTCTTATTATAATGTGTAAAAGATTAGAAACATTAAGGGTTTATAAGTACAATTGTTTGCTC